GTTAATCCTTGTCATCAGGGAAACCGGCAACTTCATAATGCCAGCAGTTAAATTCCGTGTTCGGTCGAAAGCTTAACAATTAAGCAAACAGAAAGCAAAATAAAAATGTAAATTGAATTGATGTGGATAAATACACCAATTTAGTTTGTAATACATTTACACATAAAGTGTTTAAAGTCTGTAAAGATAAAATTAAGAAAAGTTGCTAGCTTAATCACATCATACACCCAAGTTTTGATATCGTCCGCCAGGCGACCAAAGCTCCTTTAACCTATTTCCTGCAATGGAAGAAACACGCGCGACTAATCTCTCTTTTTCTCATTAGTGCCCTTTATTGCTCTTTAAGGTGACGATTCCGTCGCAGAACAACAAACGGAGACTTTCACCCCCAGGCATTGGCCAATAAGACATCAGAAATGCGTCTGTAGCTCCTGATCACCGCATCTTTTCTTAAAGACCTGACTTGCTGCTGAAACTCCACTTTCTCGCATCTCCGCATATACCAACAGGTTATAAGCAACGAGGTTCCTCTAAACCTCAACAACACAAGCACATTTCCTTTTGTCAATATCATGCACACGCAAAAGCAACTCGCTTCTTTTACACAAAATGAATGTGAACGGTTGGGAGATCTTATAAATAAATAGTTACATCGGCTCAATTCTTCATCTTCCTTACCCTTTCATCACATATAACTCTTTACATCCTTGCTATAACTGGTTGGAGAGGAGGGTGGCGATTCATTTCTTTCCGCCAGGTGACCTAACTACCCCTAACCTTTTCCTCGTGGACGTCGACGATTACCTAAGGCAAAAAGGTTGTCACCAGCTTTATTACTGATAGGTCCAAACGCGCGACGAAACACGCGCGATTAGTCTCTCTGTTTCTTATTAGTCCCCCTCAGGGTCTTCATTTTTTCGCGGTGGGAAGGCTCAGTACCTATACACATGTTATGACGAAGCAAAAGGACCCCCGGGAATCTGGAAGCAAAAGTGATTGTGGGAAGCAAGCGACGTACACGAGCGAAGGTCCGGAAGCACCCGTCTGGTGTGCCGTAGAGTACGCCGGAAGCCCTGAGGAAAATGTACGTGGTAAGATGGCATGCGAACGCGATGTAAGCCCAGTACGGAATGTTGTAATCCAATGTTTTAGTTTATTTAAGTATAAGTTCATTTCGTAGAATTCTTATTTGTATGTATTTTTACTTAACTCATCGCCCAAGGGCTAAGAGAGAACGTACAAACTTTTAGCTTTTGGTGCTATAAAAAAGAGAAATCGTGTAGCACAACTACCCTTGCAGGTACTCTAACGGTACTTGTGACGTAGTTTTAAGCGTCCCTATATAAACCAAAGTGGCGCGTTTTTGAAGGAGAACAGTAAAGAATCCTATCCCAGTCGTTTAGATTTCTAATTCATTTTTCCTAATTCATTATTCTCTGATTCATATTTTTAGTATAGTGTTTAATTTAAGTAGTAGATAATATTTTGTGTAAAAGTTAATGTTAATAAAATATATTCGGAAATTCGGTTGTTTAAATAAGTGGTATGCAGATAAGCCTAGATCCCTAAGCATCGCTTACTGGGATACAACAGGACGAGGTAGGCTAACGTGGAGTTGCCCTTCCTCCGCAATAAAACCTGCCGAGTCGAAAGAGAAGCTCTCCCGGTGCGGCCACCAACACCTTTAGTGGCAATCGCATGGGAACCTCGACAGGCGCCGAAGAGTTAGTGGTTCTCTGGGTAGCCGCACTCCCTACCCATGTCTAAGCGAAGTAAGAGTCCTGGCAAGTGGTGCGCGGCGGGGTCACAGAGTTGAGGGTAACCTGACCCATTAGTGGGGTTACGACGTGAAACATAGCAGAGCCATGTATAACTATGCGGATCGGGTGTGTAGTCTGAGCCATTAGGAGGGGGCCTACTAGTGGCGAAAGCAGAGTAGATGCGAAAAGCATAGCAGCTCAGGCGAGCCAGGAGGCCGAAGGATGTCCGGTGATAGCGAGTATACGGCAAAACGGATGTCATCCAGCGAAGGGTGCTCCGTAGTAGCTGATGGCGACTGGAGAGCCTATACTGATACAAGGGAGCTGGGGGAGCCCCAGGAGTCCAACTTCGATTCTTGCCCTGTCAACTGGTGTTAGGTTGGGGTAGGGGGATGTGCAGCGGATCGCCCGGTTTGCTATGTAGTCCCTGTATTGAACGTTTAAGGGTGTAGATAGGCCCGAAATAGGCGGTTACTCGTCTCGTTAACCCTCAGACACCGCATCGGTGGTTTCCTGGGATCCATCCGTTTGACGGAGGGGAGACCCCAGGGAGTCCCTCATTCCATCATGGCTCAGCTGTGTTGGTTTGACGTGTGGATTTGCCATAACATAGTAAAGAACCGCACGTGAAACCTCCACAAGTTGTTTCCTATTAGTGCCCTTCACTGTTCACTAAAGTGGAGACCCCGTTACAGATCAACAAACGCAAAATTCGTCGTTTTTTCAGCCTCAGGTATTACAAACAGGACGTTAAAAATGTCTTAGCAACTCTTAATCACGACTGCATCGCATCCTTTCTTAAAGACCTGATTGGTGAAACCACCTTTTTCTAGCATCTCCTCATTGCTTACACCAACAGGTTACAAACAACGAGGTTCTCCAATTTCAGCGAATCAGGCAACATCTTCTTTCATCAATTTCACATACACGCAGATTCAACTCAATTCTTTTACCCAAAAAGGGGGTGGAGGATCCGGAAATCTTATAAATAAACCGTTACATGAGTTTATTTCTTCACCTCCCTTAAGACTTTAATACATGTCATAACATTACTCGTCCTTACACCCTCGTCACAAGTGGATGGAGAGTATGGTGGAGATTCATTTCCCTTTCTCCGCTAGGTGGCTTAACCCTCCCTAACCGATTTCTCGTGGGCAGCGAATTTGCCGAAGGCACAAAGCTTGTCACGCAACTTATGAGTCCAGACAAGCACTTTCGAGACAAAACACGCGCGACCGACCGCTATTATAGAATCCATTACTGCTTGCTATGGTGGTAACTTCATCGTAGAACAACAAACGCAACCATGATTGTTTTTTAGCTCCACGTTGCTACCAAGACGTCAAAAATATGTATGCAGCTCTTGATCACCGCTGCAGCGCACCCTTTCTTAAAGACTTGGCTTGCGTTAAAGACTCCTCTCGCATCTCCACACTCCTTACACCAACAGCTTGTAAGCAGCAGGCTTATTCGCTAAATCTCAACGACTCAAGAAACGTCTTTCATCAATTTTACACACACGTAAAATCAACTCGCTTCTTTTACCAAAAAAAGGTGAGGAGGATCCAGAAATCTTATAAATAAACCTTAAGCACGCAACGATAGATCTCCTTACACCTTTGTCATAACTGGGTGGATAGTACGGTCATCAAGTCATACCTGTCGAGCATGAAAACAAGGGCGGTTTTCATATAAAACTGTATATAAATTACTGTAATTTAGTATTTTATGAATTCAATTAGTTATTACGATAGATAGCAGTTTATAGCGGATCCTCACCGAGCGGCATGACCTAGAGGTTTAGACCATTGCTTAGCATTCGGGAGGACGCCGGTTCGATTCCGAGTCCGTTTGCCTTTGTCCCAGTTTTTTGTGATTTCCTTGGTTCACTTAGGTAAATGCTGGGACAAGAATATTCCACAGATAATCTTCCGTTCGCTTCTGTCTTTTCGTTCGTTTCACCTTTCTCATCCACCATCCACCCACTTCCACGACTCCTGAAAGGAGGCTGAAGAGGGCCATCCGCCCTACTTTCCAGCGTAGCCCGGAGGAACTGTCCGCCCACCAGCATTAGTGGCTGGTGGGAATGAAACACCCAAAAGTATTTTACGCGTATCCTCATGCGTATATGTCAATGGACGGAGATACAAATAAGACTTACTTAAAATTAAATCATTGCAAAAATTTAATTAAGAAATAAAGCAATTGTACCACTCCATATATCAAGATATCCCCTTTTAAAAAAACAAACCGAAAGTTTAATACTTCTATTGTGAACTAAAAAATAAATAAATCGATAACCAATAATTACTAAGCAATTATTTAGATATAGATATTCGTTTCTTATCATGAAAACACTCAATTCTACGTGACCGTATAAATTGTATCGAGTGTAAACCTTCCTCGTCAAGTTTTTTATAAGTTATTCTACATTGCAGAAAATAAAAAAATTGAGAAAATCTAAGTTATATTATTATCTACGATGGCAGATAATACTTACATTTGAAAAATTTTGCCTGTGTGTATTAAAAAAAATATGAAATGAAAACACTTCATAACGTTGCGATGTTATTTTTATCAATAACATCCACATTGCCAGTGAAACACACTTGACTGATCGATGTTATCTATGTATTTAAGTATTAGTAAATTAGTTTTTAGGGGATTTTCCGGTAAGGCAAAATGAAAGTCAGAAGAGAATAAAATTTGGTTTTGCCAGGGTATTTACAAAGGTAGAACAGAACTAAAAAAAAAAGAAAAAGTTAATATAGCCTATCGCGTCTTCGCAGTTTTAAGACAAATTCGACGAAAATTAGACGTTTAAAGAGCTTGTCCATGACTACGTACACATTCTACGAACAAAAAAACAAGATCGCTGCTTATCAGTCATTAATGAGCCAGTACATCACCACTACAGAAATACTTATTTTTTTAACTAAATAAGTTTAATAAATCATGAGCACTACGCCATAATAATAGTGTGTGTGACCGTACAACCCTTATTTGTTTGGAAATTGTTATCTGCCAACTACACAAGTATTTTCTATATAATCATTTCAGTCATGGAAAAACCGGCTTAGAATTAGTCTCAAGACACGAAGAGCTAGTTAGACATATTACAAGCAGAAACAGGAGTTAAGGGGAGTAGAAGTAGACCTAGATTACGTTATTGTAAGTACGAAGATAAAACTACCGATAAACAAATATCATTTTTAATATCAAAAATGATGAATAGATATAAATATCGATGTGAACAAATAAATAATCAAATTCTTGCCGTTTCAATTGTCGTTTAACCATGTTCTTGAAAAATTTAATACTCGGTTTACTCATTTGTGCTGTATTTAGTTCAGGTAAGTGTTTCTCAAGAAGTAGGTACCTATATATAAAAAAAGTATTAGAGAAGTGTTTAAATCTAAATTCACCCACAAATGAATGCTAGGTAAACTATCTAACGAAACGAAACATTAGAAGGTTCCATGAACAATTACATATTAGATCTCAATATTAGAAAACAATACATAATAAGTTTTCTTGCAGCGACAGAAGCGGCAAACACATGTGCCAAAAGAGAACTCTCCACCGGGATAGTATGCGTTTGCAATTCGACCTACTGCGATACAGTAGATCCGTTAAAACAATTACGCAAAGGTTTATATGTTGCTTACGAAACAAACAAGGAGGGTTTACGTTTGGAAAAAAGTGTCGCAGAATATGACATCCGTTCGAATGGAGATTATGAACTTGTGGTTAATGACAGTAAAACATACCAGACTATTCATGGCTTTGGAGGATCCTTTACCGATTCCTTTGCTATTAATTACCTCAATCTAAGCAGAACAACGAGAGAAAAATTAATTAGGTATAACAGATTTTCAGTTTATTAAAAAAATATTAATAATAGGAGACCATCAGGATCCCTACGTAGAATGGCTGACACGTGGATGAGTACCCGTTTGTAGTGGATTGGGCTACACTTCATTTAATTATTGAGTTCTATACGATAATCGGAACACAGTCTCAATAAGGTCTAAAGTTCAGCGAGAACTCGTGCATTGACATTCTTAAAAGAAATTAGACTGAGCGAAACGACACAAGTTGAAACATGACTTTGGACCTTCATTCCATTTGGGGAATTAAAATATAGACTTTATGGGTTCAAGGAGCTTCGGAATAAGTAACGTCCACCAGTTTATACCATCTGTCATTTAAATAAAACGAAAAAAGATTTCTGGTAATGCCAAACATCATTACATACATAGATTGTGTTAATAAAAGCTTTGCTGTTGATTTGAGTTCGCCAAAAATTCGAGGATATTGTCATAACACCTGCCGATCGTCGAATTTCTATAAAATTTAAAAAGATACCGAAGCTATTACAATAAACCAAACTGTTTCACTCATGTGGTAAATCTAACCTGCCTATGATATGGACAGACTGCATAAAAGCAATCAGCATCATAAGGTCGTCAGTCCTAAGACTGGTTGGAAACGCACCTCCACTCTTTCCTATCCTGAGCTAATGTTTATATTTCCCTAAAACTAGAATACTCCGAATCTGTAACTATTTCTGAACCTGATGAGTCCTACATCGCACCTAGAAAAACCCTTATTTATTCGGGATTCACAGCAGGGCAGACAGTACAAAGTCATGTTGCAACTGTTGACGTTTTCGCTCAGTAAAACGTACAGCACTTGCAGGGATGCAAGGCAGTATGGGATCATTTCTGCAGTTCATCGTAATCGTCATCGGACTATCCACTAAAGGACGTTTCATACTGACTGCCAAGTCACAGTCTGATTACGGTTCAGTTACGGTCAGATCAAAAATACCACCGTCCGTGCAAAGTCAAGACGGCAGACAGGAGTAAAGAGATTTTAAAAAACGTTCAAGTGTTTTTTAAAAGCAGACTTGCACTTACATTAAGAAAAAAATGTCAAGAAAAAAATACCTTATAATGATTCAAAAAAGTTTATCATAAAACTCTACAATAATTGCTTCAACTGGTTAATCAGTCAGTTTCAAGTGGATAATACGTAGAAATAACTGTATAAGTTTAATGATAATTTTTATGATAAAACTTTCTGACATTATAAAGCATTTTTTTTCTTTATTTATTAAATTCATATAAAAAAAATTACATGTCCGATAAAGGTGTGAGAACCGAACTGCGTACAACATAAATTGTCCGTTCAGTCAGGTCAAAATGTCGTTGAAAAAAATTGATGCCGCCAATTGATTGGACCGTAGTTAGACAGTGCCGGATAATGGGAGTACTGCTACAATATTTTATTGTCATTTGTGCACTATGTAGTAGCTCATAGCCTCTTTACAGTCATAATTTCAGTAGTCTCATTTATGTGTAGAAATACAAGAAGTTGTTAAAATGAAGCAATAATTCAAATCCAAAAAAAATTTACAATGGACCGATATATTTCTTTGTTTATGTTATACATGTTTTACAGTAGAATTTGCATTGTTTAAAAACTCGCGACTTCTTAAATTTCTAAATGCAAAGGAAACTACTGAGATTGGCCTCTAAAGACGATGTGAGTAACAAAGTTCACAAATAACGAGTTAGAATAATAATAATCTAGCATTTAACTATCTTATCTGTTAGTGTAGGTAGTGCCGCAATAGAATGACGTCAAACTATTAAAAAGTACTCGTTAAGTACGTACTTAACCGCGAAAATAAAAAAAAAAACGATAGAAATATACTTTTCCTTCCTAAACCACTAGAAAGCGCTTTGTTACACACATGTATCACATGCTTTTATTTGACATTCCTGCAAAGTTCAAGTTGTAAGATATAATGAGAATTCCTTGCGTTTAGGTCGTACTTTTCCGACGAAGGAAGCGAATATAACTTGTGCAGAGTCCCCATTGCAGGAACAGATTTTTCTACTCATGGCTATACCTACGATGATACAGAAAACGACGATGAAGACGTTGGTCTCTCGAATTTTTCACTAAAAGATGAAGATTATACTTATAAGGTACTGAAGAGTCGATTAACTATAATAAAAAAAGATGAAATGAAATGCGTACTGACAAATTACAACGTTTTAGATACCACTTGTTAAAGTGGCTCAAAATTTGGCAAAAAATAATATAAAATTGTTAGCATCACCTTGGTCAGCTCCAAAATGGATGAAGACCAGGAAACAGTATGCCGGAATGTTTAGTTTCGTTAAGTCGGAGTATTATCAGGCTTGGGCGGATTACATACTTAGATTTTTAAGAGAATATAAAGAACAAGATATAGAATTCTGGGGCTTAACCACAGGGAACGAACCGAGTTTAGCTTTTTTCATTGGAAATAGAATTCCTACAAACGGTTGGCTACCCAATAATTTGGTAAGAAATATAAAGAATGTATTTTTTGTATGTCGATATTTCATTTAAATGTTACAGCGTAAATGGATTGGTGAAAATTTGGGACCGACTATTAGAAATTCCGAATTTTCCAAGATCAAACTACTTGGAATTGACGATCAGAATTTCTTTTATCCATGGTATCCAAAATATGTGAGTAAAACTACATATTTGTTAAAAGACAATTTTTAAATCTGTTTTCGTAATTTTAGTTATTAAACGATGAAAAAGTTGCGGAATATTTAGATGGGTTTTCTGTTCATTGGTATTGGAATATAATTTTTGGTAGAAGTTTTTTGAAGAGAGCTTCCGAAGAAATCTCAAATAAATTCGTTATATCTTCTGAAGCTTGTTCAGGTATATGACAGTCAATATTGTCCTTTATCATCATCATAAGGTCGTCAGTCCTAAGACTGATTGGACACGTACCTCCACTCTTTCCTATCCTGAGCTAAACTTCGCATTTCCCTAAAACTAGAACAACCCACATCCTTAACTATTTGCGTACAGTAATCTAATCTAGGTCTACCTCTACCCCTCCTAATTCTCGTTTCTTTCTCTAATATGTCTCTGACCAAACCTTCATGCCCGAGAGGGTGTCCTATCAACCTATCTCCCCTATTTTTTATTGACTTCCATAGAGTCCTCTGTTCTCCTATTCTTTCTAATACCTCTTCATTTCTAACCTTCTCTATCCACGGTATCCTCATCATTCACCAGTAACATCGCATAGATTAGATATCAGTCGCAATATATTTACGTAATGAAATGGTATGAATAAAAACATACCCTTCAACAGTTTATTAACTTGAAGAAAGACTCCATGTACATTTCGCCTTTTTAGAACATCATCAGAATGAACTTTTTAATATTTATATTTCAATTTTACTTCCAGGATCTTACTTAGTAACCCCTCATGTTATACTAGGATCATGGATTAGAGGTCTCCTTTATGCAATTGATATAATTGAGGTACTAATCTTTTATTTCTTAAATATATGTCTATCGACCGTTCGTTGGATGTGAAACTCCTTTTATTTTTTAGGACCTAAACAGGAATGTAACAGGTTGGATTGATTGGAATATGGCTTTGGATACAACTGGGGGACCTACGTACATTGGAAACAATGTAGATTCTCCAATAATTGTTAACGCGGAGCAAGATGAATTTTACAAAAATCCTATGTATTATTCAATAATTCATTTTTCAAAATTCATTCCTCCGGGCTCTGTAAGAATTGAACTCGCGGGTTCAGTAAGCGGATTGTACTCTGTTGCGTTTAGGAGACCGGATAAAGGAACTACTATTGTCCTAATAAACAGGTAAAGAAGAAAAAATACCTTATAGATTTCGGTGTTGATTAATTATTCTTTTAGGAGTAACAATCAGATTGCTGTCTCTGTAAAGGACCCTTCTAGAGGAAGTATAAACTTGAATATTACCGCGAAATCGTTTACCACTGTTGTTTATTGGTAATATCAAGTAAAATGATCAATAAACTATAAAACGAAATTATTTCTTTTACACTATAGAATAGCATTATGTTTAGTGCCGCCTTTAGAAGGGCGGGGGTGACTAAAACTGAAATACACAAAACGGAAATATTACAAAGACTTCATGCCCTCAATACGTCCTCTGAGGATGTCAATCCCAATAGTTGGCAAGATGTCAATTTAACAATTCCATCGGTTTTCTGGCCTGAGGAGAAGCACTCCTGAACTATGACCATCAAGCATAATTCGCTGACATTTTCAAACTTTACAATTTCACTGTACTACACCCACTATACTTGACTTCTTGCTATAATTAGGACAAACGGGGGGACTACTAAATTGTTTTATTATTGGGTAGTTAAACAAATTCTTTTTGTGAGCATGCCTTTTAGCCGTCACTGACCGACGTATAAAATTGTACATGTGAATTGCTAATGGTAATTACTAGTACTAATAATAGCCGTGGTCTTTATTAACCGCGCTTTATGTGATACAGGTGCGATAGCTGCGAGGACGATAGATAAAAGTAGACTAGACAGCACACACAAATTCCTTAAGCGTTTTTATCTAATTATGCGCGAGTTAATTCAAATTGCCTGAAGGACATTAACATGTTACGTGGCTGCTAATGCTGTTTACATTTACACAGCCTGCTTTGCCTCCGGACAACTAATCGACCACCAATATGTACTACCGCTTCTTTGGTATTAATTGACTGTGTTTGCCTATTAGAATATTTGGCGTCAATTACTGTCTCGCACAGTACAGGTTAATGTATCTTATTATTATCTTTGTCGTTATTATACAGAAAAAACTACTTTGGATGTTCAATCTTTCTTAATTTCAAATGTGACAGCTTTAATCCCTTTCTTTAATACTAGATAACCTTTGTTGTAAGAATGTGTCATATATCGCCGCAGGCGATCTATACCGGCGATACGGTATAGTACATTACGTATCGAGGAAAGAAACAGGGTTATTGCAGACTGCATGTGAATTGCAAACATGCAGTGTGAGACAACCCTGTTTCTTCCCGAGGTACGTATATTTTTTGTCATGTTTGTGCGGAAAGCTCGTTATTAAATTGATAGTTGGCGAAATAAGAGTAAATGATTTAGAGGTTAGAAAGACATTGTCATTGAACAACTGATTTCTGCGCAAGCCCATAAACTTCAGCGCATGCGCTCAAAAGACGAATTTCATTGCCTCCCGACTAAAGCACGGCTGAAAAGAGGCCATTTATTCCCTATTTCATAGCACGCAAAACGAGCTTTCCGCACTAACATGACAAAAAATTATTTCTATACGAACAAGTCTGGCATGTCACTGAAACCTGCAAGAAGTTTCCGGAAATAATCAGAATATTCTATAGTCATATAAACAGGTAAAGCACTCAATGAGGTTTTATTTAATGTAAGAGGAAAGTTAATATAATAGGTAAGTGCACCAACGAGAGATGTAACAATATCTGAGGTATCGGCAACTTAATAACGTGATAAAGTTCTGAAATCAGGGCTGTATTCAATAGATAAACATATTTTATTTACTTTTACAACATACATGGATGTTTCGAAACACAAATATTAAAATTTCTTTAACTTCTCGAGTCAGAAATAAATATCGAGGAGCAAAAAAAAACGTGTTACAAATGGCATCGCCGCTTCCTCCGCTTGCGTTACAGTTAGAGGCATCAATCTTAACAGTAACAAAGATTAAATTCAGACAGTACATGACAGCTGAATATCAAACTGATTAATATAACTAAACGCTAACTTGACAACTATTTGGCTATCTGTTTGAATTAATGATTCTATTCAGGGCACAATACAAGCACATTCCTATACATATATCAATGACAGATACAACTAATCTGTTTACAATTAGACACGCATTGGCATTAATAGGAATAAATATTAAGAAAAACTTATTTGTCGACTTCGACTAAGACATTTCTTTTTAATTTACAATTGTATATAGTGTTTATATACTCCAGTGGTGATTTTAGGATTGAATTTTCAAAAGTGTAAAACACCATGAAAACTGTACTGCCAAACTAGAAGATGAATCCATCTAAAATTCGACGGATAGACCATAACCTCTAACAATTTTAATCAATATGTAAGTCAAGCGCAATCGCATTAATTTTTAGGACCAGGTAATTACGCCGGAGCGTGGCAGCGTGCCTTTAGCCACAGACACTGTCACGGCAAGTTTATGATTAAACAACAACATTCTGAATGTCGATGAGACAATTTCGATTTTTGAAGGGTCAACTCAATGCATTACTAAACTAATTTTTTAAATTAATTTGACCACTACAGGTAATCTCAAATTAATCAGGAAAATTGCTACTGTTGTCGTTCTCCCTTGTCAGGAATCCTGATTTTAATTTAAGGTTATCTGTAGTGAGTAAAATTAATTCAGAAAATTAATTCGTTGCTGCATCATGTTTAGTTGGATGTTTTGATAGTCAGGTAATTCCATAATTAGTATCGCAAGAAGAGATAGCTGCACAAATTTTCATTACAAACCTAAACCTACGCTGGAACCATACAGCTACCACAGCTAATTTGTAGCTTATTGAATGCGGCGTTGTAATGTCGCATTTCCTTGAGTGATCATGCCAGAGTCGGACTGGCCACTGCCTATACATTCAAATACGTTTTTCTCGAAAACGGTGGATTTTAGAAGCATGCAACATTTACAAAATTTTCTTGTTTTATAGTGCCCTGTCATCTGTTGCAAGCTTGTTAATTATTTCAAAAACACCCTATATATGCATTCTTAGCAATACGCTTAAACGAACTGTAGACTTTCGATCACTGACGTAGCATTTCAACGCTTCGACATTGTGTTCTAAGTGGCGCTACCTGGACAAAATTATCCGAACTGACTTAACAAAAATTCGAAGTAGACCAAAGATCAATTGTAAAATCATTTATACTCGATTAAGCGGTTTCTAACTTCTCAAATTGAAATTCAAACTTGATATATTATCAGTTAAATTTTTAAAATCCATATTTTATTATTAATGAGTTATTAAGAATGTATCTATTATCATTCACATACCAAAAAAATTTGAAACATTGAGAAATTGTATCAAGGATCGTGAATATTTTACCCAGACACGTTTGGCTAAATCGTATTATTTTGATGTCATCATACAATCGAGATCTGGCCTGTAAAAATTACCCTGAACAAATCGAAATATAATTAGACGATTTGTTTAGACTAATTAATGTTTCCCATTAAATTCCCGTTCATATTTCAGTCTAAATTCGACATTAGGTATTATGTAAACGGCGATCAGTCGACGTCACATTATTTATAAACATTCAAAGTTTTGTGTTGGTTATAAATGGGCCACACAATGCGTTAAATTACAAAGATCTAATTTGAATTTCAACCGGATTACTTATCGAAGATTAAAACGAATTAAAACGTGCAGCACTGCTGCAATCGTAATGAAAACCAATAAACAAATGTCACATTTATCGGTGAATTCCATTAGGGACCTTTATTTCTTCGCTTATTCACATAAACTCTATCACTTCATCTTTGACAAATTATTATAGCGTCCGTATATCACGTTAAATAATGTTTACAGTCCTAGAAAATAATTATCGCTTGTAAATTTGGGATTTAAAGAAACGGAACAATTAAAACATCATAAAATCAATAAACTAGCTGGTAGACTGATTACAATTCTGCGAAAGAATTCCGGAAATATTTGCAAAAAAATATAATAATTATCCATGAAAGTTCCAACTTTATATAAAGTATTGTTAAGTAATACTGCCGCAGGCGGAGATCGATACGACGGCGCTATCCATAACCGCTGTCGAAAAGGAACAGCTGCGGTCTTAAATATATGCGAATGACTCACAGCAGACTGATGCGATAGACGAAAGTTACGAGAAGTTTCCGGAAATAATCAGGAATGTTTTACAGCAGCAGAAATGTGTAATTGACAAGTATCTGATGGGACATATTTAACAACAAAAGACACTTGATAGAAACGGTGCGGAAAGAAAGTGGCATAGGTACACAGTGAGATAAATAAGTGATTTGTAAGACAAATAACTGTATGCTCTGCTTAATCTTATATAAATTGCTTATCCATATAAATATTAAGGCTTGTTTAAATCAACACATAGTTATACTAGAAAATACGGTGCAGTATCTATAGTGAATTGTCATGTTAACAATTTATGCGTAGCAATTCTATTGAATAAATGGACACTTAAAAAGCGATAAAATCTTGCTTAATCAGCGATAATTCGAAAGTTAATGAGTCTCGGAAAAACTTCATGCGCACAAATTAAACGAAAATCCCTTTAGAAATAATATAAAGCTTGTCGGCTGCAGTAGTAAAATCGATAAATAACTGAGGAAAGCTTGCTTTTATACTGTAGGTACTTAGATAAGATATTCCGGTAATTACTGATAAAATTATCGGGAAGTTCTAGCGAGACTATGCTCATAGTTGTGGAACTCAATTAACTGGGGAAGTAATTAAAAATTTAGCAAATGTTTCATAACTTTAAATGAACAGTTGAGTATCAACAGACAAAGCAGTTTTGTTCAAATAAAAATTTTATAATACTTGAGTGTATAATTAAGATTCTTTCAAATCGGGAATCAATTTGCTAGATTTTATATTTTAGAAATTATGTTAAAGCGGCGATAGGTGGTTCAGTCGTTAAAGGGGTCGGCTTGGGGCCTAACCTTGAGGCCTAACCTATTCGATTCCCGACACGTCCTATACCTCATTTTCATCATAAGGTCGTCAGTCGTCAGACTGGTTGGACACGCACCTCTACTCTTTCCTATCCTGAGCTAATTTTCGCATTGGTTTCCCTAAAATTAGAACAACCCATTTCCTTAACTATTTGAGAACAGTATTTTAATCTAGCTCTACCTCTACTACTCCTAACTCCCTTCTAATATGTCTCTAAGTAGACTTTCATGCCTAAGAAAATGTCCTACCAACCTATCTCGCCTATTTCTTATTGATTT